GAGAGGAGTAGTGCGAGAGGGCGAATATGCCCTCGCCTTGGGCGAGGAGTAGACTGAGGGGGGTTCTCTTTCCCCCGGCTTTCCTGACTTTCAAAGCAAGCTTTCTTCAAACATTTAATTGTGTTAGGGGATAGTTGGGGATATGTGAGGATAGGAAAAAGTAGGGATAGATAGGAGTAAATAGGAGGATAAATAGGGGTAAAGAGGTTTAAATGAGTACAAAAAGACTTAAACATTTTATATACTGTTTTCTCACCTATACCCTCCCCCTTGCTCCGGGAGCCGAGCCCCCTTGCCCCGGGGCCGCCCAATTACTAAGTCTTTTTGTACTCATATACCCCTCATTCACCCTATCTATCCCCTGATTTCCCTAAAGATTAACTTTGATTCGCAAAGATTAATCGAATACAAACCTACCCCGAGCAACATTCCTACCATTTTTTATCTTTTTTTCTTCTTTTTTTTTTCTTTCTTTCCACCGCCATGGGGAACGTACCATACCGTTCTTGGTACCCCGATCTTGTGCTTGATAGTCCACGACTTTACCACAACGCTAACTGGTGATTGTTGGAAGCCTACAACAACTTATTCTCCATAACCTTACCATGTAATATTAATGACTAAAATTTCCATCTAAAACGAGATTCGTACCTTCGACGGTCGACACATGAGACCGACATCTTGACCACTAGACTACAAGATCTTTTGCTGAAAGGCTAGGGTTATTTAATTTACTTTATCCTTTTCACGAAGTTCATAATGAAAAACGGTTATGGTAGGATTCGAACCACCGATTTACCACTTGGGAGACCATTGTCTTCACCACTAGACTACATGATCTTGTGCTGAACGGTTATGGTTATTTAATCTACTTTATCCTTTTCACGAAGTTCATAATGAAAAACGGTTATGGTAGGATTCGAACCACCGATTTACCACTTGGGAGACCATTGTCTTCACCACTAGACTACAAGATCTTGTGTGAACGGCTATGGTTATTTAATTTACTTTATCCTTTCACGAAGTTCATAATGAAAAACGGTTATAGCAGGATTCGAACCACCGATTTACCACTTGGGAGACCATTGTCTTCACCACTAGACTGCATGATCTTGTGCTGAATGGTTATGGTTATTTAATCTACTTTATCCTTTTCACGAAGTTCATAATGAAAAACGGTTATGGTAGGATTCGAACCACCGATTTACCACTTGGGAGACCATTGTCTTCACCACTAGACTACAAGATCTTGTGGTGAACGGCTATGGTTATTTAATTTACTTTATCCTTTCACGAAGTTCATAATGAAAAACGGTTATAGCAGGATTCGAACCACCGATTTACCACTTGGGAGACCATTGTCTTCACCACTAGACTACATGATCTTGTTCTGAACGGCTATGGTTATTTTAATTACTTTATCCTTTTCACGAAGTTCATAATGAAAAACGGTTATTGTAGGATTGGAACCACCGATTTACCACTTGGGAGACCATTGTCTTCACCACTAGACTACACGATCTTGTGCTGAACGGTTATGGTTATTTAATTTACTGTATCCTTTTCACGAAGTTCATAATGAAAAACGGTTGTAATATGATTCGAACTATGATTATCCTCTAAACACTAGTGATGGGCGATACTTCGATACCAAGTATCGATACCCACCGATATTTATGATTTGCACTAAATATCGATACTTGACCAAGTGGTCGCAAAATTTCGATACTGAGCCTACAGTATTTTAGGTCAGCGTTTTCTACCAAAAAGTATAAAAATTTTTATTTATTTTTCTTTTGTTCGTCACTTTTTTGTTCTTTAGTTCTTTAATTATATGCTACCAATCAAAATAATTTCTGCCAATTTTTCATTTGCGAAAAACAAAGGGAAAAACCAAAAATGTGAGTGAATAAATGCACATTATGGTATGGTATATGAAATTACAAACGGTAAAAAACGGCTCAAATTTCTGGTATCGGTATCGAAATTTGGTATCGATACCACTACAAATTGTCTGGTATCGAAGCGGTATCGTATCGATTTGAAAAAGCTGGTATCGCCCATCACTACTAAACACATGCCAGAACAAAAGTTCTTCGACCGAATTCTGGCAAAAGAGTAGGTAACGATATTCGAAGTGTGCCTGTGCGGTATGAGTTCAAGAGTTGTCTGCTTACTATATACGACATTGCTCAATGTGGTTATTGTGGGATTATTACTCGTTCACTGCGACTGCGCGGGGTTTATAAATACTTAATTTCACTTTTTCTCGCTTTGCAATGTCGTTTAAGTACGTTTGATAAACGTAAAGTTTCCGTTTTCACTCATTGCATTTACTGCAACCTAAAACCGGTCAATTTTTCAACAAATGAAGTGAATTAAGGACATTTAAAATTTTCTTGACATCATGCAATAGTCCACACATTGCACGAATGACCACGTGCATACATCATATGCGTAGAGAATTAAAGACTGTACACTTGCATGCACGACGCATGTCTGTGAGTTGCAATTAGCATAATAAAATAAGGCCCAGATAGCGTTTCGAACCATGGTTATCTAGATTGCGAGACCGTTGTCTTAACCACCAGTGCTTGACGTTCAAGGCAAGGCTTCCATAATTTATTTGCTTATTGCTCTCCTCACACAGGGATGGGATTGGTGAGCAGAGAGAAACAAAGAACTTTTGAAAAGAATGTATAATTTATGCAATTAATAATGACTCTCTCCCCCAAAGTGGAGCACTTTTCTAAGGAAATTTCCTTAGAAATGAAAACCCTGGTTCAAGGCTCAATCCTTTTTGGATTAATAATGAAAATCATGCCTTCGAGGATTCGAAACACCGACTTGAATGTTGCGAGACCATTGCCTTCAACACGAGACCGAAAGCCGGAGACCTTATGATTCACAAGTTCGTTTTTTTATCTTACCTAAATCTTTTCTTTCGGATCGTGTCGTCGCGATGAAAACATTTTACCCCAGGCAAGATTCGAACCACCAACTTCACAGTTGCGAGGACATTGTCGTTACCGCGTCACTATTCCCTCTTTCGATAATGAATGGTGTTTTTTAATTTACTTAAATCCTTTTTTTCAAGATGCTAATAAAAAACATTCTGTCCAGCATTCGAACCATCCCTAGATGCCAAAACAGACACGAGATTCTCCCTAAACCCCAACAAAAAAGAGGGTACCGAAATCGGTATGATTCCAAGAGTCGACGGCTTAGTATATGTGACATTGCCCAATGCGGTTGTTGTGGAATTATTACTCGTTTACTGCGCTTGCGTAGGGTTTCCTAACACTGAATTTGGCTTTTTTCGTTTTACAATAGCGTTTAAGTAGGTTTCATAAACGTAAAGTGTTCTTTTTACTCACTGCATTTACTGCAACCTAAAACCGGTCTATTTCTTCAAGGAATGAAGTGAATTAAGGACATTTAAAATTTTCTTGACATCATGCAACAGTCCGCACAGTGCACGAATGACCACGTGCATACATCATGTGCGTAGAGAATTAAAGACAGTAGGCTTACAGCTTGGTTTATTTATCTTACCTAAATCTATTCTTTCGGGTGGTAATGAAAACATTTTACCCCATGTAAGACTCGAACCACCAACTTGACAGTTTGCGAGGCCATTGTCGTTACAGCGTGACTATTTCCTCTTTGGATAAGGATAATGAAAAACATTCTGTCCAGCATTCGAACCATCCCCCAAAACAAACACGAGAACATCAGATTCTTCCTCGAAATCCAACAAAAAAGTGAATACCGAAAATTGGTATGAATCCGAGAGTCGACGGCTTAGTATATATGGCATTGCTCAATGCGGTTATGACTGCGTTAATGACTGAATTTGGCTTTTTTGGTTTCGCAATAGCGTTTAAATATGTTTCAAAAACGTAAAATGCCCTAAAATAGGTCGATTTCTTCAACAAATGAAGTGAATTAAGGACATTTAAAATTTTCTTATCTTTCATTCGCAGTATTGTCTGTCTTTTGTATGTACATTTGTGGAAAAATCTGAACATAAAAATAGAAACAGAACACAACTGAAAAAAATAAGCGGATAATTTTAAATCGCGAACCAATAAAGAGCTTTATTATATGTGTATCAGCCTCGTACCCAGGCGCTTTATTAATAGTAAAATATATAATGTTGCATTCAGTTATAGTATAGAGGTCAGTTGAATAAAGGCGAGCGCGCGGGGGTGCTTGGGGTGGTATAACTGAATGCAACATTATATATTTTACTATTAATAAAGCGCCTGGGTACGAGGCTGTATGTGTATAGAGATTTATGCACAGCAGAATGATGAAATAAAAATCGTATTTCACTGTGTAAATTAATTTCATGCAATTTGATTGGACGTACGATGTTTTTCACGTGTGAAAAAATGCCATACACGACTTTTGATTGGACGTACGATTACGTACGATATTCTTCACACGTGAAAAATTGTCGTATGTCATTTTGGCGGCAATTTGTTTACATTTTCTTTCAAGATGGCGTCGAAATATAGGAGTGAGATTCAAAACATAATTCTCATATTCAAGATATTTTCACATTCAGAAACTGAACGGTAATAAATATGTTTTCAAGCACAAAATTTCAATTTTGTTGCTCGCTGTGTTTTTGTATATTAAAGGCGTGTCGTTGTCAAAATTGATCTCTATACCCATTGTGACCTTCACAACTCGTGCATAAAAATCGTACGCACTTGCCAACCATGAAGTATTTGTATTTATTTACGATACGCGTTGTATTTTACCGACTGCATATAAAACGGTTCGCGGGACATTTCGTTCGATTTACTAAATATTTTTAGCGTCGTTGTCAAGGCCATGCACAGATCTTAAAACGTTAAACATTATTTTGTAGCAAAACCGACGTTCAGTTGAAACTGTATTTCTTTCAATACTGTTCATTTCTTCCACGAATCCAAGATCTTCTCGATGACGTGTGCCAAATTGCATAAATACAATTACAAAAGAGTTTTTTTGATTGAATATTTCTGGCCATTAATCGAGCTTTTCCTGTAAATAAATTAAAAGGGAAATTCTATTTCAATGGAGAATTTATTTGTTTGCCAATCTTTATATTTAGAAAGGAATAACAGATTTCAATAAACCAAAAGGCAATACAGCCTGCAAAAATGTGTAAACAACATATTTATTCACGAACTTTCAAGCATTTTACAATATTTCGAGGCCAAACTTCACGATGTCTACTTATTTCTGTATATATTTTTCCACCAAAACAAAAAAGTTAGAAAATGACGACCAGTTTTAGCAGTTTGCAAGCATCACATAGCTAGCTGTACAACCTTTTTGGGATCGTCAAAAAGTTCAACTATTTGCAAACTAATATTGTACATCACTTACCGACTTCTTTTACAACGCTGTTAGTAAACGTGAACCATTCCATAAAGAAATCTGCGAAAATTGTCAAGGAAATTTCAACTATACCTTTGAAATACACCATGTTGCCTGTCAGTGGAGTGCCTGACAGTGGAGCATAAAAATATAGAAATGCCTATGGTCCAATATTTCATTGCACTTTTTAGCATGGTTTAGACATATTTTCTAAACAAGCACATTTCAATGGAAGGAGAGTTGTCACAAAGAGCACAATTTTTCTGTTTAAAACTGATATGACTAAGAACATAAAAAGGTCAACGCCAGTTAAAAAGGATACGTCCAGAATAACACATATGTCTGTAATATAAAGTCAAGGAATTGGCCAATATTTGTCAGATATTACATGGTTGCATGGAAATAGACTCTAGTATCTATACAGTCATTTCTAATTCATTTCTGTTTTATTTCTGTTTTAACTACTTAATGCATGCATAACCATCTAATTATCTTATAACATCACCATCTTGTTTTAAATGTGGTATGACAACTGCCTAAATAGACAAAACATTTCTCGACGTTTCGACCTGAGGGCCTTCGTCAGGAGAGTTAGTATGACATACTAACTCTCCTGACGAAGGCCCTCGGGTCGAAACATCAATACTAAATTTCCTGATGAAGGCCCTCAGGTCGAAACGTCGAGAAGTGTTTCGTCTATTTAGGCAGTTGTTATACCACATTTGATGCTAATGCCACACTGCTCCTTGGTTATATTGGAACTTATCACCATCTTGTACCTAATTTTATCCGAAGTCTTGTAATTTTAATAGTTGAATTAATAAAATATTTATTAAATATTATATTATTCTTTGTGATTAGTGTTGGATTTGTTGAGACCCAAAATTGATTGAATTGGTTGAATTATCCAAAATAATATTATTGAATACTAAGGTGCATTAAAATACTACTTCATATTCATTTAAAGGTGTAACAAACCCAAATGGTGTTAGCTATTCAGACAGTAAAATGTACGGTATTTGAAAAAGTAAAGAAATTCAAAATCTAAACAAACTGTTTGTGAACATACAGGCAATCTTTAGTATTATTAAAGGATACAAAAAGTCCACCCAAAATTCCATTAGTTGTTAAACTCCACCAAGAAATGAAGTATTTTCTCCACTCTTGCCCAGCTTTAACATTAATGAGACACTGGTGATAAGACAAAAATAATATATTTAGTGTTTACCCATGACATACTTAAAAAACCTGCTGATGTAAGTGGCCTAACCAGTGAACTGTAATAAAACCTGGAACGCTAACTTCTGTAGTTCAGCGTAATAGTTGATTGAAGCAAAAAGTTGAGTAGAAAACATTTTCCGTGTTTCTATACAGTTATAGAAACACATGTGGGAGATTGGGAGAACATAACATAGAAAAAATAGCCCTACCGGCTCTTCCCACTGATTATTTCAAGTTCTCCCAAACTCCCACAAATGTTTCGATTTCTTTTATAATATAACTCAATAAAAAGATTTTGTACAAATATTATAATTTGATTCAATTACAAATTGTCATTAAATCGCTTTGCTTGTTAAGTTTGGCGGGAAAATTCCTGTGTTTCTATACAGTTATAAATGTTATATTATGAAACTGTATAGAAACACTGAATATGTTTTCTAATTCTTAAAAAATAAATGGAAAAATTACGGACACTTACAGATAGGAAAATGGAAGCTACAAAATAGAAGATAAATCCTGACAGGCCAGTTAATCCTAGTACTCCAGCTGACATACCTGCCAAGGCAGAAACTGATGTACGACTGAAAGCAAAGTGAATCCAGATTAAATGTGTAAAAGAGACCATTACTAATATAAAATAAATTGGCATAGAACTTTTTCCATGAAACTTACATGGAGGAATTTTGTTTTAGACCAAATTTGTTTACATTTTCAGTGACTCAATCAGTATGTAGGTGTGCATGGATTCTGACTACTTCCCGTAAATAGGTGCATTATTTCACCCTTTTACTTAAAGTATAAAAAATGCAGGAATTCTGATTGGTTTTGCCTGAAAAATGTAAACAAATTTTCCAAATCAAATTCAAGGAATTGTGCATGAAAATCAGTGCAAAGTCATAAATATTTTAGTGTATTTCAAAGTTTAAATTGTCCATCATTCTTCAATCCTGAACAAAATGTTTAGAATGAACAATGTCTAAGGTCACTGTCATTGTCTATAACTCAGTGGGTGCATTGTACACGAAACAAGATGGTGGCCAACAGAGAGACAGGTATTTGATACGATTATAAGAATGAATTTGTAGTTTATTTGTGTGAGTACTTTACAGTGTCACACTGGTGACATGTGGCCTGTTAGCACCTTTATCTGCCCCCCCCCCCCAACCACTCTACTGCTTCCCAAAATCCTAGCTACGATGAGCTAGGCAATTAGTTGACAAAAATTTTTAAATTGCATTTTCCATTCTTTATAAAAATATACTCACCAAAAATCAATAACCATGTTGTTATTTGCAATAGCAAATCCACTATAAGCTTCACTATCTAAAACAGGCATAATACATAATAGTACAGGATATTAAAAGTACATTTTATTGAATTAAATCAAGAAATAAAGTACAAATTCATTCTTATAATCTTATCAAATACCTGTCTCTCTGTTGGCCGCCATCTTGCTTCATGAGGACTTGCCACTGAACTGTAAAAAAAAACTGGAACGCTAAGTTGGCCGCCATCTTTGAAGCCACATATGAAGGTACTTTTTTCTGAGTTTTTGAAAGTTTGTCGTTTGAGACAGATGTATAGAGTAATTATCTAGGAATGTCTAGAACTATGTAACATACAATCATTTGCTAATTTTTATAAGAATTGAACAAGAAACAGAGTCAAAAACTTAGTTTTTTGCTTCAATTCTTGGCTTCAACCAACTATTTCGCTGAAGTATAAGAGGTGTCAGATTAAGACTGGGCTTGCTCCTGGCCAAAAACAATCTCGTTCCAACGAGCCTTTGTTTTCTCGCCATTATGAAAACATTTTCATATACGCAACTTCGAACCACCAACTTGCACGCTCCGATACCATTGTCTTCATCGATGAGCTATTAATAAATAATACTTTCATCTTAGTGATCTTACCTTTCCTCAGTCAGCTGATGGTACTTGGGGTTTACTTTGTTAAACTGATCTACGCTTGACTGCAAGTCTGCAACTCAATGAAATAAAGGCTGTGTCAGCAGAATAAATTTTGTTGCAGACATGCAGCACTTTCATCCAATTCTCCAACATTAGGAACTCTAAATTGAACGACACCTTGCAATTTGCACGAAATCCCTTGTTGCCAAAGTTTCTCGGACCCGAAACATCGCCGGATTACGTGCAAGACTATTGCCTCCTTTGGCATTGGTCTTCCAAGTGGTTAGTCAATAGTGCAAGCCCGGCTGAAGGCGATAAATAACATACATAAAGTACACTATGTTTTCATGTAAAATATTTTAATGCGATAATAAAATACTGTACATAATAGAGTATTCATGATATGAATTAGTATGAACAAGCGAAATGATTATCTATTCAATCCATCCAGTCACCACTTCATTCATTGCTTCTCGATTCTAAAAAAGAATGGTTCTTAATCTCGTTCCCCGAGCCCGCGATTCCTCTCGGGCAACGAGATTGAACGGTACTGTGGTTATGTTACGCGCGCATGAAATATTTCCTCTTTGAACCCAGTCCCTAACCTTCTGAACGATTTACGAAAGTTTCCGGTAGCAACAATACCGATATAACCAAAAGAGAAACATAATAGCTAGGCATGTGCAGTGAACTTTAATAAAACCTGGAACGCTAATTCCTATAGTTCAGCGTAATACTTGAAGCAAAAACTGGGTTTTGGTCTAACTCTTTTACCAATACTCCATACAAACCTTCGTCGATTTTTTTTCTGTTTTAACTGTTGTCCACTTCCACCGAATGGCGAAAATTCGTTTTTGTCTGATTCTTTTTTCTAAAAATGTATTCAAAAGCTCAACAGTTAAAATCAATTTTTATTTAACTCCTAGGAAATATTCACTTTAAGAAAAAAAATTTTCCGGCTCATTCATTTTTACCTGAATATTATTCGTCTTGAAAACTCTCTTAAAAGTTATCGTTCCTTTCTTGTAGTCATAGTTTGGTATTCCTCTGAAAATGCATAAATTGTAATCGCGATTAGCGACATCAACAATAAATATTGTAAATAATCAATAATATCATTAATTCCCACTCTCATCTAGTGCTGAACAAGAAGATCCTGGCATTTGAGGTTTTGCCGAATACATCAGCAATCGCATTTGCTTTCTTACATCACTGCTGAACACCACGAGTATTATGTAGAACAATTGTAAATTTAGCGAAATTGTTGCACACTTTACGATATTGAAGTTAAAATACAGAGTTTGTTAGCGGTTTGGCGTTTGCAGTAAACGTCACTCTTAAGGTCCCTATTCTCCCTAATTTGATATTTGAGGGAATTAACGCCTTTAAATGGATCTAAACAAAACTACAAATCTTTCTAACCTTTTCTTATCAACTGGTCCTAGTGGGACAGGTTCACTGGGAGCATTACTCTTCTTTTTCTTGCCATCTAGGCGAAATCCCGAACCAGAAAATGCCTGGAGAAATCAAAATGGCGACCTTTAAAACGTTAAAGTTTGTATAGCATCCTGACTCCTCTATAAAGCATTCTACCATTTGGGTTGTTTATTAGGTTGGGAAATATTTCAACCGACTTTAAAACTAGAATCCACTTCTTCTTCCTCCTCTTCCTACAAAACAAAAAGACGCATTTAAAACGATAATACTAGTTTTAGTTTGTGTATTTCATCGTTTTAGAAAAAAAAACGCAATCGTATGAATGCTTCAGCCTTATAAACATATAAGTTACACTGTGTAAGTTACAGCATATATTGGCTCATGTTTCGCGCGCTTTTCTTAACTCTCGCAACATTTCTGCGTGTTTGGATCAGGCCATCCAAACACGAAAATCTTACCTTCTCCTGGACTTCAGGCTTTGGTTCTCTGCGTGGTTCAACGTACCCAACTGGAGGTGCGAATTCCACCTAAACACATTAAGAGGAGGTATTTTGTCGTATATATGCTCAAAACCGTATATCTTCATACATCAGTACTGAAATTTTACACATTTTAGACATTTAAAAACGTTTTGCAAACCTGAAAAGCATTAAAAAAGTATGTTTGGAACAAAGTTCAAAGCCAGGGTTAAAATTACGAGGTACGCCGAGAAGAAAAATGACACTCAAATCGAAATTGAATCGAAACAACTTTTGCATTTCAGCGATAATGGCGTTGACATTTATAACAATAATTATATTCCTATTATTTTGATACGATTTTGTCGCTTAAAACTGTTCAGGAATTAGTTCACAACATAATGTAAAGGGTAAAGCTAAAATAGATGAAATTTGTGTAGTAGACCGAAAAGGTTTGATGTTTTGAACGTTTTCCCGCCAAAATATGCGACATAAAAAATCTCCTTCGAATTATAAAACCTTTCAAATTCGCTGTGCTTTGAAATTTCACAAAGTTCTTGCAATTAGCAAGGAACGGCATTGCTTGGGCTAAATGATTAATCGAAAAAGTTAGAGTATTTTGCAATTACCTGCATATCACATTCTATAATAGACACGGCTTCGTTAGGTTTCGCCTCCTGGACCAGAAACTCGTACACCTAAAAATATTTGTAAAAAATAGCAATTATTGAATGAGGTTGAACATGATACGAAGAATTATCAAGCCGAGGTTTGTCGTTATTAACCGAAGCTAAAGGCTGAGGACCCCGAGGTTGATAACGACAAACTAAGGCTTGATAATTCTTCATATCATGCATGTGAAAACCGAATTCAATAAATGCTTTATTATTTATTTACAGGAATGAACAATACAACTTTGTTCGCTCGAATTTGTGTCGATTTCATATTCCCGCTCCCTTGGGACCTTGATGTCTTCGCCATTGGTGTGACGTCAAACGTGGAACACGACTATTTATCACACGTAATGACGTAATAGCGTGCAAGCAAAAAGTCGTATAACGTCACGTTATGACGTCGCTTGTTGGACGTGGCGATTTCACAGATGGCTATTAGCCAATCAGAGACTGTGAATTATTTTAAATAAGTTCATTAGTTCATTAGTTACTAATATCTTTATAAAATTTATGCAATTGATTTTCTGGAAACAAATACAGTATTTACCTTGTTATTATAGGTTATTGCCACCACATCTCCAACTGTGAGACAGGCATATGATCTCAAAGCATTTTCTAACCTTTAAATGTGGTCAAGGTCTTAAAAGCATAATTGCAGTCGATGTGACTACAGTGAGGCCATATATGGAAGTTTGATGGACTGGTATTACTAGTCCAGTACTGTGCCAAGTGCATTTCTTTTATAAATATACAGGGGTCAGGGTGTCTCAAAAATCTATTGAAATCACTCATTTTGCTCAATTTTAAATGCCCTGTTCATGAAATTTTGCATGTGGGGATTTGATGCAACTTATAAAATGCTAAATAACTAATTATAATTCTTCCATACAACCATACAAACTTGTTGTTAATTATTGTGCATAAAAAATTAATGTCAAACATACACTATTGGTACAAACACAGTTTTTAAGAATTTAATGATTTTGTTTTTTTGAGCTACACACCTTGGTATATAAGAATATCAATGGAATTAATTCAGGCAGTGTCAAAGAGTGGGTCTCTCACAGTCCTTCCCCCCTTCCTTTGATCTCTTTTGCAAGGAGGCAGACATATGATTGTAGCACAGCCTCAGTGTTGATAGAAATTCTGATATGTTTACATAAAGGATACACAGCTTTGGGATTGGTAATATCCAAGAAATCTGTACTCTGAGGTTGAAATTTTGAGTAGGTTGCAACTTGAAGCGAAGCACTTTCAACCTGTAGTAATTGCCCCTCGTCCAACACTAGATTACGCATCATCTATATAAAAAAATGAAATTAGTCTTCCTTTATCAAAAACTATACTGTAGACATATTGTGCCTGGGGTTGTAAATACAGAAAGTTCTAAATTCATAAGTAATTGCATATTTATTGAACAACTTAACTAAAAATATTATGTATATGGCTTAATAATTTAATAATATTTTAATTATCCTAGCAAATTTGCTATCTTAAAACAATTCTTAATTTACATTCATGTAGACTCAATTATTTTCTTTCCATAATTATTTTCTTGTCCACATAATTCTCACCCACAGAACTGATAACTCCATCCTAAACATGCTTACCCAGTGAGGTATATAGACTTTGCCTTCATCAGCAATGAACTCCAACACACCACAGTGAGTTGATCTCTTTGCATTTGTGTTGGTTAGTTTAAACAACATAGGGTAAACTATATTCAGACGAGCTGGAAAGAAACATAAACCAGTTTTTGACCTTACATCTTGGGTTGAAACTTAATTAATGCAAACAATAAATCTGGCAACATACTTAATTGATCCAATGCTGAAGGAGGCATTATAACTACAAAAAAAATTGGTAAAATGACATTGCACAATGACAGTTAATTTTTGACTAGTTAACTAAAAAAATGTTTTTTTTGAAGAATGAAAATATCCACATACTTTTTCCTCCTTTCTCGACATCTTCTCTCTCGTTTCCAGGACACAACATGACAGAGTAACATCGATACTGTCTGTTGAATGTCCTGGGAATACTGTCAAACATGTTGAAGGCTTGGAACTGAAAACAAAATACCAAATGGCGTTTTGAAAATATGCTGAATTGACAAAATATTTTATCAACACTTCTATTGAAACTAAATGCCAGTAAATTAGTAAACATTAAATGCAGGCATGGAGATCTGGTACAAAAGATGAGATACAGATTTGAGTTTCAAGAGTACAAAAGATCAGATTCAAGTTTATTTAGTCACTTGTTTTGTTCCCTTTCCTAAGTGCCTTGGAGAATGTTTGTGCCCTTGCCCCTAGACTTTGGTTTTTGTGCCTCTAAACCTTTGACAGTGTGTATCCTTTATATGAAAATGTGTTTCCTTGCCTTGTGTGAATGAAATATCTCATAAAGTGCCTGGGAAGTGGGAACACGAACTAGCCAGCATAGCTTGTCATAGAACAAAGCCCCACAGGAAATACAACATTCCCTACTAGAATTGTTAAGGCATCATGACATTCATGTATAGTTCTATACTTCTATTCAATTTCTAAAACCTTTATTTTCTTCTCAGAAAATCACCGCAAATATTAACTATTATGAAACATCAGTAATCAGTTGTAACAAACTAAACGTCTTTGTATGTATAATGTACGTACAAACCTACCATTTTTTAAATAAATATAACTTTCTATTAGTGATACTTCTCAATCTTTTTGATACATTTTCAATTTGTTTTGGTTTTGCTTTGTAACCGCTCGAGGCCTAGTCCAGTTCCTATCGTGGTCAGGGGCCAGCAGGTCAGTGGCCGAATTGGGCTACTCAAAGGCTTGGACCCATTGAAGTGTAAACGAACTGGAACGAGAACTCAGGGGGGGGTGGGGGGGACGGGGGGGTAGGGGGGGGGCGGGGGAATAGAAGCCAGTGCTTTTTACTTTTTCTGAGTTTTGAGCTGAAATTCTTGACTCCAAATGTTGAGCTGTATACGTGATGAAATTAAAGCTATTAAAAAGTTACATTTCGTGTAGAAATTTCGAGACGTTAGCTTGAAGGGAAATATCTAAAAAATTTCCCGTTTTCAAAACAGCATAGTTTGCCGGCTGGTAACTGTTTTTGTTTTTTTTAAATATTTTCTTTGTAGTTTAGGTCTGGAAATTTCCACACCAAATATAACTTTTCAATAGCTTTAATTTGACACACAGCCCAACGTCTGGCGTCAAGTATTTCATGTCAAAACTCAGAAAAACTATCTTGGCTTCAAAAGCTAACAGATTTTAGGAAAGTTTGTCAGGAGTTAGCGTTCCTGTTTACCTACAGTTCAATGCTTGCTCCTGGCCAAAAAGAAACATGGCGGATTTTTTCGTGTTGACGCCAGATCTCACTGCGCCAGATATGGTCCGAAGAGGCCATGGTAATTACCACTGACACGGCTCAATATTTGAACAACCACAGCAGTGATTTTTTCCCCGGTTACTTTTTGTCATTTGTCTGTGAACATTTTAGCACAGAATACCTATCAGAAGGATAACTCTATTGTTTTTTGGCGATTCGTCATGATTCGTCACTCAGCAAGTACTGTAAATAGAGGCAATCGCCCCACTGCCAATGTCTCAATGGTGCCATTTTTAATTTTGGCAGGAGGTGATACTGTAAACTAGAGGCAATCGCCCCCTGGACAATAACATAGTTGATGAGTTGTATTCTTTTATTTAGTCTCCAAATCATGTATTATCTATTAACTGTGGTATTAAGAAAGTATTTTATTGGTGGGAGGAAATCTTTTCCCGTTGACAACTGGTTTTGGCATCCAAAGGCGGAGCAAAACTAAGGCTTTTTTTTTTGAAAAAAACCTTGATTACATTTTTGCTAAAAATTTTTTGGAGATTTTTCGAATTTTCCGAGGTTCTTAATTCTTGACTTGTTGGTTCTTTCAAATGACTTTCAAATGTGATGCCACCATGGAAAAAATACAGAAGAGTGAGAAGACAGCCGACTACACTTGTTATATCACAGGAATCCTATGTTGCACAAACACAAACTTTACATGACATATATTAGAAGCCGAGGAAGCATCTGGCAAGCAAATTAAAATCACAAAAATATCTTCATTTACTTTTATTGTTCACAGATGTTCACGCAGAAATGTACAACAATTTCAAAATACACAATTTACAAATACCCTATCCTATCCTAGACAGTGCCAGAACGATGTCCTGTAGAATATTGCTAAGGAAAATGACCGTTTTGTGTTTTTATCTACCATAGTGAATCCTATTCAGTCGACAGACATCAACAGCGAAACGCCGGCAAGCCACGAAATGCCATGTGGAACAAATTATGATCTTTGATTTCATCGGGATATTTTTAAACGGGTCTTATTCTCCGGAATCAATGATTAGTTAAGAACAAAATTGCTTCGACTGTACAGAAAAGTCGAAAACTGATTTCAAAGCATGTTAAAAATAGTTCATGATGATTCATGTGATTCTAAATGTTGTTCAGCCTTCAACTCTAGGACTATGGAAAACTAAATCCTTGATTAATAACATGAACTGAAATCAGTTTTTGTTATAAAATATGGTCTTAGTTTTACATCATTAACTTGAATTGTTTTGGTAACTGATGTGCTGGGAACCAAATTGTGATTTTTAAACATAAACATTACCGGGGAGAACTAAACGTCGTTTTTTTCACGCAAAATTTTGCCCCAACACATTACCTGATATAACAGAAAATCAGGTATTTGAGATTCAGTCCAACCCAGGATGAGTCTGAGGTTTAATATGCCCTTAAATCTATGGCGAATTTGTAATACTAACGAACAACTGGCTTGGATGCAGATTTAAAATACGACGTACAGGAACAGATTTTTTTAAGAAGAACAATGCACTAGTGACACAATACAGAAATACTGACTATATTGATTTTGTCGGGGTACGAAAATAGTGCGCTTACGAAGAAAATATATTTGCCAGGCGATTGAAAACAAGTCAATCACGAGCAGAAGCTAAAAAATTTTGAAGAACGTTTTGGATATTCGAAAAATGATTGAATGACTCTAACCGGGCTGATTCTTTTTCAAAAAAGGCATTTTTGTGGAATCCTAACGCCTGATTCTTTTATCTTTGAATGTTACAATTTACAGCAAGTTAACCTGCCATTTCGTGTGTATAGGGAAAACGGGTATAGCTGAAAACAACATTGAATTTTTGAACGTGATTTTTGCCAGCGAATTCGTGCGTGTCAATATGATTTAGCAGATGTGGTTGGCCAGTCCGGCGATATAAATGCTGGTTGACATATGTCGCCATCATTTATTATTACTGTCACTGATAAGAGTTCTATATGTCACTAAGAACGCTCTTTTTTTGAAAATCCTAGGCCAGTTTTATAGACTATTTATTCCTGCTCAAGGATCTGTTCAAACGATCCAATTTTGTCGAATTCAGTCATGCAATTTTCTTCTGATGTATATGGAATCTGGACTATTATTGGAAAGGCAGTCATTGTATTGGGTTGATTTGCTGCCCATGTATGCGTTGCAAGTCAACAAGACTATAAAACATCCGTCAGAAGTGAATTGAAAACCAAAAATATAGGACCGTTTAACAGTGTGAAAGAAACTTTAGTGAAAAAGTGTGTAGTTTTTAGTAAGTTTTTTAACTTAAATCTCTGAATTTGGTTGCGCAACTTCGGTTAACTTTTAGCTCTGACTTTTTATGCAACCGGACGGGGAATTAAATAGAACTCGCGTTCAGATTTAGCCGGAAGGGCTAAATATAACTTTGCATCATATCATTTGATCTCATTTTGACAGGCCAATTAAATATATTATCCTACTGTGTGTAACTACGGTCCCTTGTGACTTGAGCAAACAAAGAAGGTCCGGAATTCTCGACTGCTTTTCGTACGTTGAAATGAATCATCGCATCGAGAAACGAACACGCCATTTTGTCCGCCCACGAACTGGCACCACCGTTGCCATGGTAAAACCCGCAATGCCCGCCTCGCTTGCAGGTCATTAGGAAGAAACTCGATGAATTCTTGAACAGGCTATAAGGGATACAGTCCGCGCTGCAGATGGGGTCGTCCAGAGCGCTGATGCACAAAGTTGGCACACGAATACGAGAGATATTGAAGTTGTTGTTCAACTGATGCTCAAAACTGCATCGCAAGCCGTTCATTCCCATCAGGGGCTCGTAAACTCGCTCGTAGAACTCCCGCATCGTGGAACTCCGAAGCGCTGGTTCGTAGTCGATCGCGCCCGAGAGCCCGGGATTCTCCCGAAGGAGACACACCAAGCGTTTCGTCATTATGTAATCGTAAATCGGCGGTAGGCTATGATCCAAACCCTTATCCATTTCATAACTAGGTGAGATGCATACAGCCCCGGATAAAGGAGACTTTCTGGTCTCTTCCAAGTACGAAAGCAATATCGAAGCGCCCGTCGAATACGCAACCGCGACGATTTTCGCGCAAGGGAAAGTGCAATGTATGTAGGATACAACCTCGTCCAGCTCTTTGCCCTCGCACAGGTTTTGCAAGCAGGCGGTTGTCAGCACAGATCCTCCATGACCGCGGCGGTTGAAGACCACACAGCGAAAGGCGCACTTCTGACCCTGGAGACATAACGGTGAGACTTCATGAACACCGCAGGTCAGCCCGGGTATTATAACTAACACCGGACTGGCCGGGTTCAACGCATAATCGCCAGCATTATCCGCTAAAATCCAGTCCAATGCGACAACCCCTTGATCCTCTAGTTGCAAATACTCCCTTCGCCAGCGAATCGGCGCTTTTGGCCAGAGCAGATGCAAAAGCGTTTGAACGTTGCCATTTAAAGCCCAGAATGTTGGTCTATATGGCTCCGCTATGCTCGTCCATTTGGAAAGAAGGAACTGTGAAAGCCTGCAATGCTTGTGGTAGAATTCTCCTTTAAATTCGGCGCCATTGTTGTCATATTTGAGCTTTAGTAATAAAATAACGGCCAAAACGATTATTGCCAGTATAAGACAGAACATAGGGCAGTCGTCGGCTGGGCCGAAACCTAAACAAGGTTATCTACTGTATGCACAAGTACGGTGTTGATTGAGGACTTGAGATTTACAGCATTATTGTCATTGCTGGAAGGCTTGAAAAATTCCGTTTCGTAATCGATAGGGATACTTGAGTGACTTCCGTTTTCTCTCAGGAGATTCCCTTCAAACGCACACTGACTGAAATCTGCGCTCCGTGAGTCGAGCAGCCTTTTTGCCAGTTGTCACGCAAGGTTTGAAACTAAATAAGGAAATACATCGTTATCAAATGACGCAAATAACACATCTGACAGCTGCCTACGAGTGACCCTCCTCCACAGGCTCTTTCAATTTTCGGTCGAGCCTGATTTGCGGTCAGCCGGACTGACAGCAAAGATTATTTTGCGCATTTTAGATAGCGCGAACACCTGATGTGAAAATTAGCCTCATAATTAAATTTTCACAGCTTTCCATCGTTTTAAACACGTTACTAATAAACACAAAGTAAGTGTATTGATATAATAGAACATGCAGGAGTCCCTAGGGATATATGTGATTAAGGTAGGGAAATATAGGGAAATATGTATTTATCACCGCAAATCTACTTAAATTGAAAGAAAGAAACAACTTCAGCAAAGAAGAAGTGAAAAAGGTTTAACATTTACACTCTTTCTTGCTTTAAATCGCATCTCAAATTTCAAGATAGCTCTATTCTTCAAAACATATTCAAAATCAACTTGCTATCATAACCGTTCAAATCATCGTCGCTGGACAAGGATGCGAATTTTTCAATTTTATTAATCATTGTACGAGTATTAACTCTTTAACATCTCTGAGACTCTGACAGCGCCCGCGTTCCAGCACTTAATGGCTAAATGCATGCAGACAGATTTAATAAACGAAACCTTTAGTGAACTCAATTATTTTTGCGTACTTTTGCTGTGTGATAAATGTTTAGGAATTTTCTCTTTTGTTGTAAATTATTGTAATAACAGATATCTTGAAAGCCGTGTGGGACCTTCGTTATTGAAAACAAAGGTTAAAGGTTAGGTGTGTATTACAAACTAAGGTGCGCTGTTATATTTATATGCTTGGTTCCCACCACTTCAAACAAAATGTTTCTTTGAGAAAAAAAAATCTGTCGATAAATAGTCTCAGCTATGGACAAAGCTTCGATTAATGTCGAGAAACAAAACCAATAAACACTGGAAAAGCATCTTAAATACAAAATCAAGGAGTATAATCGCAGAGTTTTTGTTCTGATGATGCACTGCCATTTTAGATGAAAATAGTGCTGCTATAGAGTATCATATATAGTAGAGTCCACTAGAGTTTTGTGTGGTTTTGTATATATTTGCATTTTGCGTGGCAACAATCGAATCACACTTTCGGCTAAAAAATGTTCATTTTCACCAGTCACGCGAGATGGAATGCATGCACATGCATACAAAATTTACGAACTATATAGACTGACAAGACCACACAAGTTCCACAACTTTTTACAGCTCAAACATTCCAATTTTATTCGCTATAAAAGTTACTTTTTCTTTCTGTGTGCAAATTGGCCATTAATTTCGCACAAGTATATAGGTCTCAGAGAGATAATCTAATGCATGGCCATTTCAAAGATGTTACCTTAGCCTTAGGGATCTCATTGAAGACACAAATATCCCAAACTGAGTGACCGGCAATACTTTGTTATTTGTTATATTTAATAGTCACATCATTCATCTTTTATAATTCGGGGATTGCGATTTATTCAGTTCAACCACAAACAAAGCCCGCCACATTGTTGTCCGATTTTGCCGTGTTTATGTTAAATATACATGCATTATTGACGTACACAACGGTTTATCGAATAAATACTGATTCGAGTGTTAAAAGTTATACTGAACATCAGAAAAACCCACGAACTAAAATAAAATGAATTGCTATATATAGGCTGAAGGTGTCAAATAGTCGGCCACTGAAGTACGACCTATTTAAATCTGCGATTTTGTTTGAAAAAAAGAGTTTTCTTATCAGACTTTCTCAGCTGTGATGATTTTCTTGTTTATATGATAAATCCCTAAGGGGATTATCTCAAGCGAGAGGCGTACATGAATTCATGAGATCTTGACTGATCCCGCATGAATGGGGGAATTTCAGAAAGATTACCTCAAGAATTGTCGATCGTAGAGATTTTCCAATTGTTTTGAGATGCGAATTTTGTTTCATTTTAGTTCTTTTGTTTGGAAGTTTTTTGAAATTTCTCAATAAAGATGCACGAGATATTCTAGAGTGGTCCGAACGCCTTCTTAATCTTCAAAAACGATTCAAATTTAAATTTGCTGTAATTCTAATTGGAAAACAAGGGTTAGTTAAAAAATCACAAGATATGAAAGTATAAATTAATTATGGACGGCAGAATATGTAACCAAAATTTTCCTTTGTATGTTCCTAGTTTGAATAACTCAGATTTTGAATTTCGAAGATGTTTAATTTTCGAAATTGTTTGATGGAAAAGAATTTTCATTTCGTACTTCATCAGTACTTCTTGTACAACAAATACAATGTTACCTTGTGGATTAATAAAGATTGAAATATATCAGTTGAGACAGGGTCGAAATATTGAATCACATTTCGCCTGTTTTTCAGTTGGGTATACTGGATTTAAGGCATTAACTACATGCAAATTAAGATGAAGTTTTGATTTACCTGGAAAGGGACAAAACTCAAATCAGAGTTCCAAGTATTGCAGGTGTAAGATGATGGGTTTTTCGCATGAGAGTTTGGGTAATATTGATCTTAATCTGACAGATCATGCCTGGCAGAAATGATTTTTCTAAATATGTCCTTATAATGCATGGATTTCAAAAAAATCCTAATCCTTTTCAGCTAATCTAGCAAGCCATCCAAAAATATGTCATACAGTGATTTTTATCGAAGGATGACGGTCGACAAACATTAGCATATGCTATTCATATAAAACGTCATTCCGAAAAAGGAATCCTTCACGAAGCCATCATTGTACGGCTTTCTCGTTTAAAAAAGGCCGGTTCGAGGTGATGTAGCTATATTTCAGTCAACTCCCGCTCGCTATATATAACCTTGGGGTCGTATGGGGCCAGAATCGTCCAACATTTAGACAAAGGCCAAAGTGCATGCATATACATAAATAACGAATAAGCAAATATAGTAATCTTTTCTGAGATTTATCCCGCTTCAGCTGCCGGGTGAAAAGATAACAGATCAAAAATTTAAAAGTACCTTATCCAAACAAATCTGGAAGCGAGGATTATCATTCAAGATCTATAACGGTTTCACATTCAAATACAACTGCAGCGTGATGTACATACCACGTATTTTAAAACAGTTCAAAAGTTTATGCAAAATCTTAGTAACCAGGGATATCATTAGCGGTAGTTCAGAGATGAAATGTTGTGGTTTGGAAAACGACGAACGTGTGGAACAGCACGGAAGGCAATTTAAGTTAAGCGGTGAAGTCCGTATTAATATTATTGTTGCTTATTTCAATGAAATCGGACAATTTTAGTGCAAAAAATTCGGCGAATGAATGAGATGCAATCCAATACATTTTTGAGCGCCCAAGTTCCCCGCGGGAAAATATTTCCAGGAAATCACGCAAGAAAACGACCTATTGTCATATCAATTCTCCGAAAGGCATACATCGACGTTGAATTTTGCAGACAAACTTACAAGTGCAAATCTCGTTTTTCTAAGCCTCGTTTTATCGTTTTACGATAAATACAGTTCAAATGCAGATGTTTTCTTGATGATATAAAAAATAATAACACAGATATGTTCAATAGCAATGTTTTCTATAGCAAGTTTGCTATACAAGTAAGCCTGTATGTGTGTCTAAAAGCGAGTTTTTATATAACGTACATTATGTGCTCTCTATTTTAGGGAGACGAATACATTATCGCGACACCACGACGTCTCTGAGCAAATAGATAAATAATATTTCGTGGCAGATCAAGAGCCGCGGACCAATAGATCATTTGTTGTTTGCGGCGGTCAGTTCAGAAAGATATTGGAAGGATTGCGTCAGACGGCGAGACCTTTTCGTGACCCATTATTATTGTTTAAAAGTCAAATAACAAAATCTCCACGCCTCTGAAATGTAGCGGCCAAAGCAGTTTTGAGTTCTGTCAGCATTTAGCGACGGTGAAAGAGACTCTGTGATTTCACCAAAGGCGCACGCGATATGAACGATTCAAGCGCACTTGAAGCAAAAAATTTACAGTCTCCAGGCAGCAGTTTGGTCTTAAATTTAGTCGTCATACTCTTATGTGCTCTATAAACTGCAGGTAATTTAATATACGTGGTGAGATCAGTTGACAAGAGTTAAAAAAAAAGTTCCAGCTAATTATAACAATCGCTTGCTTAATAATACAATCGAATACTTCAGTACTGTATGTAATAATTGTCGTACGGTACTATTTCAAAACTAGTTATTTCAGATTTTGAATGAAAAATATCAAAGCTTAAAGGAAAAGCCCTGATGATGTCTGTTGCAGGCTAGCTTACTCGGCAATCTTTGGGCCCGAGAGCCATTGGCGTTGGGATATAGTAATTCCTCCGTTCCGTTATAGCCAGCTCCAAAGCTGATTAAGTAAGGAAGGACCAAATAAAAACTCTTTCCTGCGCTACTAGACCTCGAGAGAATGCGACAATTATCTCATCAAATCTCATCTCATCATTTCTCTCCATAGGAGAGGTTTGTTGCTAACCTACACAGCGCAAAAATCCCTAATGCGAATCAGGTGCGGACGCTCGATTTTGAATTTATTGCGGACCGGCGTTCGGTTTATCATCTGTGGGCAATTGCTATCAGCATTATGGCAAAATACAGCAGTTTCGTCTCACCCTAATTAAATCAACGTTTACACAATACGTACCCGGAATAGCCTTTTCAATAACACAATGGCAATCCTGTTAACTCAGACAGACGCAGCCCGTATCGATGTGTCTGAATTCGAGTGCGAAGTCGTCCAGAATTCTCATCCAGTTTGAACAACGGCCGTACGACGCCAATGCGTTCCTCAAGCGTTGCAAGAGCGAATCATTTTATCAAGCAGTCTAAGGACGAACAAATGAAACAAACGTTACATTAATAAGTAAACGCTCTCGACGTGTTTTTGTGAAACTTATCTCGCTCACTACATCGGCTGGCTGGGTCGTTTGTGGTTCACGACTTGAGGTCGTTTCGGGTTTCCCTTGAGTGATGTACCGCGCGCCATATGATGGGCCAATTACGCACATGTATATACAAGCCGCGGATTTAATCTGATATACGAGCTCGTTCGCGTTTCCACTTTTGCGCGTCATGACCGCGTTTGTTTGAGAAGGTTTGAGCATATAAATTAACAAAAATGCATTTGATGTTCGACCTTTCATTTGGCGGTTAGTGAGAACTCTGTATGGTAAATAACTGTTCGCTAAAATGTCTAAATGTTGCAATTATCTTTCTTCAAAATCTAGCGGTGAAAAAAATTCCGCAATTATCGCAAACTGTTTTTGATGTAAAGTGATGTAAAGTTTTCTGCCACAGAAGGCCACGCTCCGTCCAGTGCTCAATGTTAAGTGTTAAGCACTTAGTCTTCTGCTTTTAACCGTGAGAAAAACTTAAACTTAAAATATCAATCGTCCTTGGAGCTCAGGGGCTGGTTGTATCAAGCCCGTTTAGCTTAAACGGTGGATAAGTCAACATTAAATAACACTCTTACATCTTTCTTGAATGAGTCAACTTGAATATTATGCACTGAATATGTAGTTGTAAACAGTATTTATGTATTAAGGTTAAAAACATTTAGTTTGCTTGTTGAATAAAACGATAGACTTGCTTTATATTTTGAACTTAACCACCGTTTAAGCTAAACGGGCTTGATACAATTGGCCCCAGGAGTCCAGAGTCTGTAGGTCTCAGAGGTTGGAGCCAAATTTTGATATACATGCACGTATGCCAAATCAACGCAATGGTTAGTATGACGCGTGTTCCTAGCTCGTACAAGTGAAGCAAGCGAACCCTAATATTTAGTTAATGTAAAAGTATATTTAAAAAAAAAGTACGGAAAAGCATTCTAAGCCTTATTTTGATCTGCAGGCATGCAGCATTTTGAAAATTCTGAATCAGCCTAAGCATTTAATGAGATACGTCGTGGTGTTGACATGACTGTGTTTTAAAAAGGAAATTCCCTGCCATTATAAAATTCTCACTTCATTTTGAGATAGCGAATTTTGCACCCTTACTGTTCCCACTCGTTAGCAACAAAAATATATATATCAAATAACTTTTAAAATATATCAATATATCAAGTTAAAACAGTGAATACTACTTGTGAAAGAATATTCTGGTGAATAAAAAAGACTACACGTATTATGTTGACAAATTGCCGAAAAATTTCTCGCGTCAAACTTCCACGCAAATTTTGGCCGCCAATGTTCGAGTAACAAAATTAATGCTCTCAAATTCCAAATAAAAAGAACTGCGGTAAACTGAACAGCAACAAATCGACATTTTTAAACACATCATGTTGAACGAGCTTCTATCATCCGCGACATTTGGTCCACGACCCTCGACAAACACACAAGTACTTGGGTTCGATATCATCTCTTTCCAAACCGCGAGCGACAAAGTGCACAACCTCGTACCTCGGGTTTTCGTCCCCCCCCCTATCGATTAAACACCCTGGGAACGAGGTTGCAAAGGGCACGTAATGTTTTCTTGGATTGTTGGCGCTTTTAGAATAACGTCTATAATGTGATATGAATAACGTCTGATGATACTTTTGTTTCGTCTCGAGAAGGCAGGATAAACTGGTGAAGACAGATTTTTGGAGAATCGTCCTTATCTTATATGCGTGGTTTGTGTTGAAAGAATCGAGCGACGATTGACACTATTATATATATAGTACACAATTTTATCGTCTCATGCATTTCCTTCGGAATAAGTGATAAAAGCACTATTATGTAAAATCTCACTCCAGCTTGCTAGGCCACCTGTGAGATTTTATTTATATAGCTTTCTTACACAAGTCTCGGCAAACATTCTGACGCATGGGAAGAAAATATTCACACGGTCCATGCATACTCCAGAGTAGCATCAAATACATTCTTTGAACACGTAAGCTAATAATCTCGATTCTGTCGGCGAGGTGAGTAAATCGCATACGTCAAAAAGGGAATCAAATTTACACAGAAAATTCTAGAACCTTTTATGCACATCTGCATGTTAATGTCGATTTGCATTCGTATAAAAGAAAAGAAAAGATTAAAGATTGCTATATTCTACAAACATTAATGTATATTACGCACAATATATGAGGATATATATATATAAATTTCATTTTAAAAAAACGGAAACCCCCCCCCATCCATTGTTTAAAGCCAAACAGGAATTAAATATACTATCCTTTTGTTCAGTTTGATGAGCAAAAATTATAAATTATTATATAAAAGCGGAAGATTCTTACTACCTAATGGAGAAAGCAGTCTTTCATTGTCATTTTGCATGTAACTGTTGATCAATCACTCACCATTTACTCCCGTTAAATGATGAACAAGCCAAAATCTCAAACGTTAATATTCAACGCTCACAAGATTGGAAAACGCCAACCGTATTCTAGAACTATACGCCGTCTCATTTCTCAAGCGAAAGCCAAGTTCAGTTTAACTAAATCTTCTCGAACAATGGCAACGATCTTGATAAACTTATCGACAGGACTATAACAATCTTCCAATAATTTTGTCGACATCAAACTATCTGATTTCGTTCTGTTTTACCAAATCTGGGGAAGCCTTGACGTCATTGACCGTAATAAAATTAAAAGATTATCGGCCTTTCGTGGGAATATATAACGGATTATCTTGTGTCGATGAGCCATAGACTTCAGCTATTTTGACGGATTTTTGCCAATTAATAATGGCGGGTTTCCACTATAAGAGGAATTAGTCGATCAAACGAATGTTTTCGCTTCTTTTACTTTCTAAATGTTATTCGTCGAGTATTTTGCTTCGGTCGAATTCACATCTGAAAAGAAAATTAAGGGGAAATTTTCGATCCAGACTGAATTCCGCAAAGTGGAAACCCGCCTTTCAACAGAAAAACACAAAAGAAAAATTCCTTCACCGGCTAAGTACGGTGGGAATTGAACCAGCGACCTTTGGTTTGCTAGGCCAATGTTCGTCCAAGTAAAATTTTTCGGCTCGCCCGTTGGCGACACAATATATATAAGAAGATTTAGATTTCAGCTACGGCTGCGAGATACGTCATCCTGGCGCGAAAACGGACGCTGTATGCCGCATATATAGGTACGTCACCCCGGCTTGCCTGATAACTGATATTAGCTACCTTGGCGCCCACTAAAACATACATCTGTTTATACCATCAAATATTCCGCAGATAGTCTGCGTTTTGCATCACAAAAAGTATATATAATCGAAGCCACGGTCATGGTAAACAGTTCTCTCAACTATTTTTCTAGAAGAAAACGAAAAAATATCAACTAATATTGTTTTTAAAACACGTAGTCGTAGTGCATGAGGACTGCAAAGTTTTCTCAAAATGCCGTAGTCATATCAAGGGCGACGGCTGCGAACTCGATGGCGTCAGCACGAAATATCACGAAATATCACGAATTATTACGAATATCACGTCAATATGACGAATCTCGAAGCCATAGCGTAGCGTCAAATCTAGTTCATAAAACGCGATAGAATCAAGCACAAAATCATAATAACTTTAAGACATACGGATATATGGAAGAGACTAGATTGATATCCGAAATATCACATATTCGAACCGTCTTTGATTCATAGTAGCTCATTTGGGAAAGCATTGGACCGGCCGGAATATATTGAACTAGGCTGACCTATATATACTCCACTAACTCCAGATGGCGGACGAATGGAAATTGAAACACATTTTAACGCGTGATATCATCTGTGGACTAATTTGCAGCTAAAGATCGCCGCTACTGCTGCATGACTGAACTCCAAATCATGCTGTTCAACAGCGGTTGAATGGAATAGCCGTAAAAATATTTTATTCTTCAACCTGATATCAGTCGATCAACTCTCGACCTGAGACTCAATAAGGTGGAATTGTAAACATGCTCGATAGACAAAATCGGCAAAGGAAAAATGCAGTCTATTTGGGAAGTAATTTCGACAATGGCATTTCAAGGACTAGATTAATATCTGCATGCCACGTCAAAAAATGATTTATTTCCTTTGATAACACATTTCATTAAAGCGCATATACGTCAATTTTTGGTAAATGATTTTTTAACCATTCTACTCGATGTCTTCCCATGCAGTATAAATACACAGGAAAAGGCGGAAATAAAAACAAAGGCATTTTTATTTTGTTTTTTTTCGGTCTTCTATATCGAAATGGCAGAAATTTTAGAAGTTAATATGTGTGCATTTTCCAACAGATCGCAAAATAGTTTGTGCACGTTTGAAAGTCGCATATTTGAGTAAATCTTCGCGCGAACTCCCTTTTTTCCAACCGCATTACCGAACTTGCATTTAATTAAAACAAATCAACTCAAATTGTCAAACTCGGTACAGTTAAGATTTTTCGGTTGATGGAATTGTAAGAAAATAAGCAATGAAAATAACTTTTGAATGTGGATATACATTTTATGCCCTTGTTTAGTCTTCGTCGGTTTTAATATACACTCCCCAGGTTTTAATATACACTCCCCAGGTTTTAATATACACTCCCCAGGTTTTAAAAGAACAATTTGTATCATGTGGGAACCCAAACGATCTACATATTTACTTCGTATAGTAGAGTAGCCTGAAGCCGCATCGCGAGTTTGAAAGCAATTCAGATGCAATAAGATCCTTCATGGCGAATACATTATCATCAAGTTAGTTTGAAGCATATGTTTGAAGGAAGTACGTGACGTACACCATGTATATATTTGGGAGCGATTGCAGAATACCCGCAATCTTTTTAACGATGCTTTTTAAATACCATGGATACGTGGATACATTGTTAAATTAGTTTTTCTAAACAAGGCGCGTGAATGGGTAAGATAAGAAGCATAAGTTAATAAGACATGAGAAATATATGACGTAAGAAAAATGTAGCTATAAGTTTTGTGTGGATACGTGGATACGCAGTCGTTTAATATTTTAAAGAACGAAGCATAAGTTAATAAGTCATGAGAAATATATGACGTAAGATAAAGACGGCGAATCCACGTATCCGCGTATCCAATTTAGCCTACATTTTTAGCCCTCACGTATCTGCAATTTAGCCTACATTTGTTACTCAAAGCTTTGGGTCCTTTAACCTGGACACACACTGATAAAGACTCAGGTTTTGCGGTGAGAATTCCGATTCCTTAGAGGCGACCGGGCGACAGTAATCCCGCCTGAGCCTAATTAAGGAGGGCCAAAAGCCCGTTTGCCATTAGGCGGAATTTTTGAACCGAACGAAATTTTTTGTCTGATATTCTTTTCAATTGCCAGAGTTCGACCGAAGCGGATTCCCTTCACCGGTCGCAATTGAAAAGAAAATCAAGCGAAAAATTTCGTTGAATCGAGAAATTTCGCGTAGTGGAAAACCGGCTTAAAGCCGAGTTGCATTGAATGTTGCAATGGCTTCTTGAATCTTATGTTATTTTCTTGTGTTTAATTTCCTCAACCGGTGGGAAAAAGCATATACCGTTATCAAGCGCGCGTTATCAAATAAGCCAGCAAAATGATATATTATCGTCGCATTGTAAATATTTTCCCATCGCAAAACTAACTTTCATACACTACCGTCGCGTCTTCTTGTCAAATATTGAAATTGTAATGAAAACAACTGTCAAACGTTGTGATTTAATAAAACCTATCGAATCTAACTACGAACATAAGGATTGTATAGAAGAAAACAAATACCTGAGCTGATATCTTGACTTGACTCTTGATAACCCCGTACAGATAAATCTACAACAAGGGCAACAAGCTGGCTTCAATTGAGATCAATGAATCTTACAGACCAATTATTTTAATCCAAGATCTTCAATTCAAAACTGATTTAAACGTTGTTGGTAATCCAGGGCGCTCGAATGAAAGGAATTGAGGTCCCGCTAAAATGAAAGCAAAATCGGTTATTTATTTCATATCGTTCTGAGAATGTTGACATTTTGAAAATGAATTAACGATCGCGTGCAACGCCAACCGCCGATTTGCCATGGCAACGCGAAACGATGGCGAAAATTAAGTTCGAAAATCTCATTTAGCCAAGGTGATACAAAATCATTCATGCAATATCGACGCTTGATTTATATGCAAATATTTTTTCATTTCAAATTTGTTGTCATGTGGCCAATCTCTGTTGTTTTGTAGATCGCAAGCTTTCAGCTGCAATTGAAACAAATTTCTCACCGGCCATTTGAACGAAAGTTCCCATTCCACAACTGCTATCATTGGAAATGTTAGAATGAATGAATCGAATTATACGGAAACTGTTGTTTTCATTCCATGCATGTGAAAATAAGGTGTTACAAAGCCAACGACACTGTAATCGGCGTACTCAAAACTGACCGGATATTGAAACGTGTGCATGGATGTGCCTACATGCAGTTTATTACATCTTCTTTTAATATCTATATAATTTATCATATCTCAGCTTTGTGCTTCGCTGCTACCATTGAAAGCCTTGCAGAAATATTTTTGTTTCCCGGAGCAAAATTTAGGGGGGGGGGATCCTTTCCAATTCTGTAGCATACGATTTTCTTTCATGATTTCTCTTGCAACTTCCATTTTGGGTTCTTTAATTTTGGGGCTAGAGGTAACCTGCCCTTTCTATGTTTGCAATGAATTGATATATGAATGTAGAAATATCTATAATCTATTCCCTCAATTTGCATTGACGCCAACCCATCACACTTTGCACGCTCAATATTTATAATTTTGCAGTCAAAAGTGAAATACAAGAGCGTTCCTAATCTATAATGCGTCAGAGGATCGTACAGCTTTCCTAATTGTTGTTGCAATGTTATATATCAGTAAATGAATCAATTTTGAATATAACAAATTTAAAAATGGCGGCTAGTCGTTTTGTGGACGTTTCATACAAAGAGATAAGCGAACAAATGCAGTTTTTGTGTCAATTCACTTGTGCAAAAATACTAAAACAATTATTCGTCTTAGGCTCGCTGATTATCGGGGAATATCCACCTCAACTTCGTCTCGCCAATAATTCTTATATGTATATATATATATATATATATTCAAAATTTAGTTTGTAATAGACCAGAAGGGTGCTCAATAAAAGCAGAGCAAAAAAAATATTTTAAATAAATTCTTTAATCTTAAAATAAAGCCGTCGCTACACGGCATTATATACTGTATATATCAGTATATTGTCCGCTTTTACTGACAATAAGAGTCCTTTAGAAATGCAAATTACTTGCAGATGAGCCTTTTAAATATATGAATCGGTTTTGTATAGAAAAACCTGCAGATTAACATTTTATATTTTAGTGAGTGTCAACTGTCAGTGATGCAGAATATATACCTAGAGAGATCTATTATTCTCGCGATCTGTTATTTCGCAAACGACGACGGAGTAGAAACTATTCATTCAGTCCTTGCAAGTTCAGCCCTTAATTAAACATTAAAATATTCTGATTTTACAGCGAGTATATATGTATATGGCAATGTTTGTTTTAAAAGTTGTAACTTATTTGAAGATACAAATTACGAAAGCTGTATAAGCTTTTCTTATTACTGACCGGTTATGCAATAGGAATGTTCGTAGACCGAAAGTGCAAGAGGTTTACTCACAATTGAAAGAATGATTTCGAAGGAAAGAAATTGAATTTTAAATTTTAAATGCACAAATGCATGGCATCGAATGTGCCGCGCGGCGCCATTCTTTGAAATCTTGAATGCAAGAAAAGTTACATGAATACATTTTGAAACTTGCTCACAAAGATGAGTCAAAATTTACATTATCTTCTATAACCGTTTTATAAAATATTTCACCAGAGTCATACGTGCTTCGATTAATTGACAGATTCTTACCGGTGCAAAGCGGTGTGACCTTCTGGTTTTATCCTCGGGACTTGAAATCTTCTTTTGTGTTGAAGCCGCTATTCTGGTTGAGAAATGAGACCTTACAGACAAAACAAAAGAACTAATCCTCTTCGAGTAAAAACCTGTCAAAATCATTGTATCCACCGCTGATTTGAATTTTGATCGGAAGATTACTGTTAAGCCCTGCTACTTTTTATAAATTCATCACGTTGTATAGCTAATTTCGAGATAAAATGCATGATAAAGGATGTATCTTAATCGGCCAAGGGGAATCTTGAAATATATATATGTATATATATTCGGTTACCTTTAATCTATTGACGTGGGGACAAATGTTTTGTATTTTTCTCCGCTAAGATTGTTGATGTTTCACCAGCAGTGTTTTTCTGTCCTTGTGCACCTGCAAGTCGGCCCTGGATGTAATAGACAAATGACAAATAATTACTGTGGTCTAGTTTCTTGCTAAAGTCAGTGATAATATACATATATCAATTGTACGGTCTATTTTATTAACATGCCGCGCGTGCGGTAGGTGGTGGAGGAGGAAATTGGGAACGAAAACTGATCTGTAAGCAAACACTGAACAGTCAGCGCTAAAGACTGCACGAATATATATGAATTAAATTTTCACGATTGGAAAACCATCATAGTCGAAGGAAAGACTTCTATCCACCTCTATATAATATTACACTGCATCAATTCCAACGGTTTTTCAGTGATGTATCACAAAAAAAGAGTTTTTCTTGCTTAATAATTTCCATATTACAACAGCACATCACCACTTGATTAAAGCAAGTTCATATACAATATGCTACCTAAATGGGTAACTGTTATATTTTATTCGACTTGATCCATGTATGGCTGCACGTTTATGAGATTATCGACTTTTTTGTATAAACATAATTATTTTCTTCGTCCCACTGGGAAATGGATTAGGAAAATCTATTCACTTTTTACAAGAAGCAGGGTCGATACATAGTGGGCAAAATTGGCAAATCTGATATATTTTTTAGACCACATTATTAAACTCCGTCGACAGCACAGCAGGCTTGCATGTACTTTATGGTTTCGACAAAATTTACATGTAAACTGCAGCTGTGAAGTTTCAAAGTTCTCCATATAAACTGACCGCAGGTGTTTGAATGCAATGATTATTTCTAAACTTTCGATACTCGCGACCCACCGTTAAATTTTACAATGCAATTGACGTTGTGAAAATGATGTGTTCGGTCCTTTCCAATGCGTCTTCAACATGCAATACTGACGCCGGTGTTATCTTCCACTTTGAATTTATGTTGCACAGTCAAAATGCTTTTGTCGTTATACAGAAGTATATAGTCATATACTGTATAATTATTGTGATATACAATTCCTTGATCATCATTTATTATTTATAGTAACGTTATCAGGCACTACGGCATATTTTCCCGCTGAAACAAGAAAATATCCGGGCGGGAAATAAAGTGAAATGCATTTTGGACTGATAATTCTATAAATTTCCGTTTCGGCTTCTTGTTTTGATTCAAAAGGCCCTCGAAACTTGTTGTTATATGAGAATAATGTTGATGCTTTTTTTCAAAAACATTTCTGACATCATCTTAAGGTCATTTTAGTTACCATTTGGTTTGAAGCGCCAAAAAACGAGCATACAATGTCTCTTTGTACTTCGAAAACAATATATAATACAATACAACGTAGTGAATTCGGTTAGAACCTTTGTTTTTCTTTTGTGCTCGTCCAATGCATTTTGCAATATGGCGCCCGTAATTAAGAACTTTCCCACTCAAGACATTAACGTAATATGTTATGTTTTTTTCATCATCTACCTCCGTATTGAAGTTAAGTGACTTGATAATTAAAGTGAGTACCCCTATCAAAATACGTCACCCATGCACGCACGCACGTCAATGTTAAGATACGGGAAGTTCTTAACAAACATATTTCCCGCCATGAATACGCTTCACCATTACTCCAGCTTCGCAAATATATATGCAGGTCATCAGTTGCATCGTGATACACACAGTGACAAATACATGATGTTTTTTATCGTTTATCGTGCAAGTTTATGAAGGAGTCACTACATAAACAGGGCCTAAGGCAAATAATTATTTTAGTATAATGAAGATGTTTATTTGAGAAAACCCCGTTAATTACCCATCTGTCATCTGTTGTAGAATAAAACGCATTTTCACAAACGTAAACAAATATTTCGACAAACGGTAATTGAAATGAATAAAGCGATGTTTTATGCAATAAAAAGTTTTGAAAACAGAATTCTACAACGTAGTTTTTACCAAGATATAATTTTAAGCAAAATTTTATCGATTTTCACGTGTTTTTAACTACAGTATTTTTGCAAGATTGCCGACCGACTCAATTTCCGCCATTTTGAAAATCCGCTTAAGGTAATTAATCCATACTGATAATCCGAATTCTCTTTTGACGAATCAGTAGCCGCAATTCTAAACAATCATCTTTTTAATTATTATAATTAAAGTTAAAAATCGCATAGTAGTACATAGCACACCTTTAAATTAGTTCAAAGGCGTTTTATCCGGAGCGAAACGTAAACAAACCCTTTGTTTACAATTTGAACTAATCTTTTCAATCCAGAATATCATGTACAGTCAGAGAATTAAGCACAATACATACGAGCTATACTCAATCCAAATGAATGCAAGATTGAATTTATTTAAAAAAAAATGATAAAACCCTGTAGCTATATCATGATTCTCAAACCATCAGCTTTCCATTGTTATATGAGATGAGCACCTTAATCCTTTCAAGTATAAGTTTTCATTGAAATCGATAGATTATGCTCTCAGTATATCCAACGTTTCGACATAAGGGCTGGCCCGTGTCAGAAAAGCAAAACTATAGTCTAATGTATTATAAAACCTACCTAAAGGTTCCTGAAACAATATTCGAGAGCCAGAGAGGTTTTCCTATTTTCAGGCAGTTTATATATGAATTGAAATTATATACGTCCGTACTTGTTTCATATATTCAAAAAAAGCTGCCACACTGCAATCGTCAAATGTCTGAAATATAATCTCTCGAGTATTTCGTTCAGTATCGGTCTAGCTTGTCTAACTGCACTCTTAAATTATTGAATTAATCAATATATTCCAAGTGAAATAACACGTACTATTGGTAGGAACTCAGTTGAGATATACTCGTTAAGTTTCACTCGATGTAATCGTTCGAAAATTTTGCTTTACGCTCAGCTGAAGTCATATTGAAAACTGGAATTATTAATTAAACAACGAACCTAGAGTTGTGAGATAACATTTGAGGTGCAACGCGAAATATGTGAAAGTTTTGTTGTATATGCTGTTTAAGTTAAATATGTGTCATAATCCTACGAGAATTTCGGTCTGCACTCGACTAGACTATACCAACACACGAAGAATTTGATATTAATACTTATAACTATATGATTTCTTTGCTGAAAATTTCTATAAATTCTTGTTTGCGCGAATTAATAATAGTCACGGAAGACATCTTTTGGAATTCATGTGTATTGGAAATGTTCGGAATCCAGATATAAGAATTTTTCATATAGCTACATAGCTACATGCTGCTAGTCTGCCTTCTAAGATGTCTCATTTCACCAAGAGTGGTAAAACACTGATATTTTGGGGGGTAAATTTAAAAAAAAGTTTGACTTTTTGGCAAAAAATGCACAAAAGAATTCTGTAGAAAATCGGCATATCGTTCAACCATGCAACGGCACCAGAAATACTATGCCCTTTTTTTAACTTTTTTTAACACTTCAAATAAAGCCATTAAAATTTTAAAAAATGCTATAATCCTCTGAGGGCCGTGTTTATCTGTCTAGCTCCACATTGAAGTTGCTAGATTATTATAATCTGGACAAGAAATAGCTCATGCAGTTAATAGTCATGTTATGTTTTTAAGTCCTTCGGTTACGAGGTATCCTAGCAAAGATGGCTACCTTGTCAAAGATCTTGCGTTTCCCTGAGCCCGGATATAGTACAAACTTACCCAAATACACGGCTGGATTCCCAATTCTGTGAGTACAACTACTTTATACAATCACCTCTGGAGATTAAAAGTCAAAACAATAGTGCCTACGCATTCCTAAGTTAGGTATATATAGCGCATAGCTGTTGAAACAACGTCACAAAAGGAACATATCAGAAAGAATGGCCTTTTTTTAAGACACACTTTATGCTGTTCAAGTAGCTATACGATGCTTCTATCTTTCGATAGTCTGTTTTTCTGTCTGGCTATAACTATATATCCGCAAGCTTGATATACAGCCTCCATATTTAAATAATTATACTAACGATGATGACATGAGTTTAATAGCGCACCTTTGCACCAACCGTTCAGAAATACGAATATTTTGTGCTCCACCATAAGTAGCTATATGTCCATCATAAGTACATGTCAGGCTTTACGCCTTGGGGTATTTTTGTATATTCAACTATCTGTCCATATAGCTATATATGACGAAAATAATTCTCAAGTTATTTAATTTGTTTGCACGCGAGAAAAGGTAAAAAAAGTAAATATGTTGATAGCCAAAATTTGTTTTCAAAATTACGCGAATTTGGCCTGGTAAGAAATCTCTCATAGCATAATCTAAGATGTACGGACTGTTACGGATTATTATGTACTAAACACATAGTACAGCAATATGAGATTTGTTAAATATATGTTGGTGTATGATATATCTATATATGAAAGGCGTTTATCGCGTTTGGAAAACAAAGATATGTGTGGAACGCTGTCAAATTCCCACGCAAAATATTTCGTCTGCGTACATTATTGAAGTGAGATAAAGTAAATAGAGTTAGCGCTATCATTCACTGTTATGTAATACGACATCTGGTTTTGGTTATAATGTTATCAAATATGCACACAGCATGCATTTTTAGTAGTTAACTCTGCGTATATCATTTGAATTGTCAGTTGTAAGTTTCGTGAGGCGATTATTCTCGCGAGCATTTCAATTAACAACATACTTTCGTTCCGACGATCCCACAATCTTGAGATATACTCTATGTTTACGAACACACGTCTGGAAATGTCGTGAAGTTAACGCTAAACTTGTTTCTCCGGCACCAGTTTTAATTTCCCTCCGCTTTATTTCTTCATATTGAATTATTCATTGCAAGTAATTTGTGGGGAAACATGTTTTCGAAAAATTGATTTGTAAACAGAAGAGATCAAAAGGTCGTGTGCATACCGAGTTATTTTTTGTTATTTAAACCCTGTCATAATGAAGTCAAATAAATGAATACGGTTATTTTCAGCGTGAGACACAGACTTGCTGCTCGTTTATCGAGTTTGTAATTATTGCTTTTTTTTCTCTCACGGACATATGAACGATCTCAAAATAAACATCCAAGATGGCGTCCACGATAATTTAGTGAATATGCTT